CCACTGCTTCCTTCACAGGATGGTGGCAAGTGCACTTCTGAGATCTCCAAACACCCGCCTTCATGGAGGTCAGCAGGCTCTCTCACCTTGTTGTACCAATCCACATACACACCTGGCACTCGATGCCTAAAGAATGATGGATGATGGGCTTCATGGGCACTCGGATGACAGTCAGTAGCTACATGGGTGGGTGGGTGAACTGGCTGCCGTCGTCTCCCATACCAAAGCACCTGGCGTGGGTATCCTGGAAGACTTAAATTCACAGACAGGGCTGCCAGAACTAGAGGCGCAGGAGGAGGAGGAGGCGTGAGGAGCAGAGTGGGCCGAGAGGCCTGGGGACGTCATGAGCTTAGGCCCGCAAAGACAGCTGCTACTGCAGAGCCTAAGCCAGGTCTGGCCGTACCAGACCCACATCCTGCCTGTGGAGGAAGACGAAAGTAGGCATTTTCCCAACCTTTCCTGCTTTTAACCTTGACACGCCAATGAAAACTGTACCCCCTCATCTGCCTTCACCATTTCTAATCACCCTTCTCCCATCACCATTCCCCTCAGCATACGTACCTGGGCTCTGAGAGCAGGTGGCACAGTGGTAGTGCCTTTGAGACATCTTTTCTCACCCGTGCATCCCTGTGTGCCAAGTAATAAATAATCTTGCTGCACATGCACATCCAAGGATAGGTGAAATGAGTCCTCAGCAAATTGTGTGCTTTCCTCTCTGCTGCTTACAAGGAACAGGATCCATCCCTATGGCTATCTTGAGATTTTTGCTCATTGCTAAATTGCTTAAAGATTTTGGTGTGAGCAGTAGGAGGGCTCTTCTGGCATCATCTGATACCTCCTGGGAGACTGGCTGCCTTCTGTTGGTCTAGATTCTCAGGATTGGGCAAGGGCAGCTGAGTACAGACTACAGGCTTCCTGCCTCTGGCAAAGCCACCATCTCTGCTGAGGGCACTTCCTGGGGGCTCCAATGGCCATGGTAGTCTCAGTGGTTGAGGAGCAGTCCTGGGTGTCCATCAGTGATGTGGGCTGTGAGGCCAGGGGGCAGCCTCCTAGTTGCTGGAGTGTTAAAAGGCCCAGACATGAGAACTCTCTGGGAGACCCCAGTCTTTTTGCTTGCTTCTTATGATCTCTCCCAGGTTGGGACTGTTTACAGATGCACACACAAAAAGGGAGGGCCTAATAAGACTGTATCACCAATTCAAAGCGCTTGATTAATCATTTAAAATGTCTGGGCTGTGCCAAGTGAAGGTTTCAGATTCCAGGACAGGGGTGATTGAGGAACTGGAGCCTTTAGCTGAGAAGGCCTCTGCTCAAATTTCTTGCAGGTCTTCTCTGCCCTGGCCCTTCTGCCTGGCACTCCACATGCCCACTGCTGCCCAGAAGTAGGTTTCTGAGTAGCACGTGAATGGCCCCACGAGGCTTGTACAATACAGTAGTCCCAAACTTGGGACTGCTGGTTGGCGAGTCTGGTGACTCTGGAAAAGACCCCAGGGCTTGGTGGGCAGGTTGTTGGACATGGGGGGCTGCAGGCATGCTTCCAAGTGTCTTCCATCTGTCTTCAACTGCTTCGGGCACCGAGTCAAGAAAGGTTGGTGGGAGACTTTCCTAGAAGCTACTCAGCTCCTTCCAAAGACACCCTGCACCCAAGACTAACCTAGGCCTTTCTGACGTATTCTGGGTCTTGGGGTCACACCTGTGTGCATGTACACCCCTCCCTGCACATTCCACCAACCCCCTTCACTACCATCAAGCACACAGCACTTCTGCACTTGGATTCAGGTGGCAAAGCTCTGAGTAGCTGCTCCTCATTGAGGGTCATTGCCAAAGGGCTATCTGGGAGTAAGAGAAGCTGGTGAAGGGAACCACTAGGGCTAGGGCAGAGGTAGGAGTTTGGTGGCATTGGCAGGGAGATACCAAAGGCAAGTGGGGAGGGTTGGCCTTTTGGCTGAGGTGAATATAAGCCAGTCCGTAAGGCCCTGCCTGCATCCATCAGAAAAAGGTAGAGCCCAGCCCCTGGCCCCAGGCTGGCCCCAGGGCATGCATATGATCTGTAAGAAGCAGCTCAATCTGAGCGGCACCTACAGGCACCAGAACCTGCCTCCCAACCTGAGCAGACTGCTGAACTGCCTGGAAGGGCAATGTTCCAGTTGGTCCAGGAGTTGCAGAGACGGTACAGTTTCTCTGTACTGTTCCTCCAGCTTCCTCTAATGTTTAACATCTTGTGTAACCATGGTGCTGCCCCCTTTTTATACCCTGCTTGCCAGTAGAGGCCAGTTGCCAGGGGGGTATGAACACCTGTGTTGGAATCGTCTTTGACACAGCTCCTGCCTGGTGACCAGCACTGTCAGTGATGCTTCAGTGCACACAAGTCCCCTGGCTTCAAGTACCCAGGGAGTTGGGTGGAGTGGGCTGCATACTAGCTGGCCAGTCATCTGGGGCAGTGTAGGAGCTCCCGGGCAGATGGTCCACTGAGGGGCAGAGTAGGGGAAGAGCAGTAAGGCCCCCTGGGTGGGGTGGGGTGGTCCTGGGGCTGACTGGGCCATGCTGCTCAGTGCAGGAGGCAGCCTCTGGACATGCAGGACCTCACACCCGCCATGTAGGTAGGGCATCTAGGAAGATACAGTTGTATGCCATTCCTGGACCACATGGGGGAGGGGTGCCAGGAGGAACTGTGAGGCCTCAAGGGCTTTCTCCTGGGCCACTCCAACCTCCAGACCTACTCTCCACACCCTCTTCCTCCCCCTACTTTTCCAATAGTTTGGGGTCAGAGGTTCTGTCATCAGCTAATGGCAAAGAGAAGGTCAAAAGGGCTTTGGAAGACTTGGTAATCCAGGGAATAACTGACAGGGATTCTAACGTATGCACCAGCACCAACTGCCCCACCTGAGGTTGACACAGCCCTTTGGTTTGAAGTGTTCTGTCCTGTAGCCAGATTGATTTCTTCCCTCTGTAAACACTGTGAGTATTGCCCCAGGTTTTGAAGCTTGTCATATGAAAGAAGGCTTGGCAAGGACAAACTTGACTAAACTGAAGGAGAAAGGTGTTAGAGGAAACAAGTCCGGGACATTTATTTCCCTGATGAAGCTCTGTGGTAAAACAGGAGTAGGCACAGGGCCAAGGAAAAGCAGTGAGGAAGACAGGTGTCCCGATACCTGTATCACAGGTTTGTGAACACTGAGTGGTACTGTATACAGAAGGCCCTTGGCACAGGTCCCAGCACAATTGTGATCTCAACAAATGGTAGTTTAAGAGAGGCTGCAGGACCTCTCACATGGCAACTGGGCTGGGTCTCAGGACTGCATTAAGCAGACTGGTTGTAAAACTGGCAGGAGAGAGGGTCCTTCTGTCCCCAGGCAGCAGAGCCAGCCCTCCAGCAGGGACAATAAATGGTAAGGAATTATTCCAGGGTGTCTGCACCTGGTTGTGTTGTTTCCCTATCGGAAGCTGCCCACTGCAGGATCAGGGGAGGCCCGGGACTTGGGTCAGGTCATCTAGGCAGACAGCAGGTGAAAGCCGTTGCCTAGGACTTTCCTGCTGAGGTGACCCCCGGGTCCGGACTGCCGAGGCCTTTCATGGGTTGGGTGGGCTCTGACTGGTGTGAAGACCGTCCTCGAGCCCATTCAGTCCTGTGCTTATCCTGGCTTGCCAGAGGCCTTGGGTTCAGACCCTGTGCCTGCCTCAGGTGATAATGTGTGCTTGAACAAGAAACTTTTCTAAGCCTTGTGTTTCTTACCGGTGAAATAAGAATGATGGTATTATCTATAGTCAGGTACTACTGTTAAGACTAAATCAGGTAATGCACCTTATAAATGGGCTGTCTTCTCTTTCACTAGGCTTTCCCCGGGGCTGGGTGTTGTCTGCCAGACCTTAGAACAGTGTTGCTTGTGTTGCTGAGCCAGGTCAGATGAAAGCAGCTGACCTGAAAGTTGTGCCACAGGAGAAAGCGAGGCCTGTGGATGGCACCGCCTCAATGGGACAGCTTGGAAAAGCTCAGTACTGGGGCTCCTGGGTGGCTCAGTTAGGCATCTGACTCTTGATTTCAGTTCAGGTCATGATCTCATGGTTTGGGAGTTCGAGCCCCACATCCAGCTCTGTGCTACCAGCTTGGGACTCTCTCTCCCTCTCTCTCAAAATAAACAAACATTTAAAAAACAAAAAAAACCTCACTACTGACCAGGCTCCAAGGAGAGGACTGGCCAAGAGAGGAGGCATAAAAATAGATAAACAAAAATAGAACTGAAAGAAGATTGCCGAAGGACTAACTTAATTTGTAAGATTCATTAACTTTGAAAAAGTTTAAAATCCTCACTGCTTATAAATGAGTTTCGCGGTGGCTGCGGTTTTGAGATTTTCCTACAAGTGGCCACAGATCCTCTGAGGCCAAGGCTGACCATCAGCCATCTTAAGTATGTACTTACAGGAAGAGAGGGTGATGTCGGCTACAAGTCTGCTGACTGGTAAAGGGTGGTTGGGGTCCTTCAAGACCTGTGAGTTTGTTTAGCATGCAAATTTCTTAATTTCCAACCCCATTCTGAGAAAATCCCTCACACTTGACCAGGTCTTTACCCCTGCCTCCTCCTGCTCTGTGTGAAAGTTAAGAGGCTGGGGGACGTTCTGATAGCACTGCCCAGGTTTGAGAGATGAGGATTCTGGGTTGTTATTTTAAGGCCTGCAGTTCCTTTTTAGGTGATTTTTTTGGGGAAATGGCATAGCCATATCTTAGGCACAGGACATAGTGCTGCCTGGTTTATAAACCGAGCAGGGTTAGCCAACTCTGGCTGGACAGTAATGGACACTTCTTATTGCTCTGGCTGCCTTGCTGTGAGGCCACTTTGTTGGTTCCCTAGTACCTGTCCCTACGGGGATAAAAGTCTTTATGAAGAGGAGACAAAGTAGCTGAGGAACTAAGCCACCCTTCCTCCAGTCATCTGGTCTGGTCAGCACTGGCTCTGTAGGGCTTGTGCCAGTTCAGTCTCACCCTCTCTCTACTTCCCCTCCAGTGTATGTGGTGGAAGACCAAAGACGGGATGACCTGGGCCCATCCACCTGCCTCACAGCCTGCTGGACTGCACTCTGTTGCTGCTGTCTCTGGGACATGCTCACTTGACCTGACCAGCCCTCCGGTCCTGCCAACTCTGCCACCGCCTTCAACAGGTGTGCCTGCCCCATCTCTTCTGATTGCTGAAATAAATGAAAATGACTAGCTCTGCACAGACATTTCTACCTTCAACACAGTGGGATTCTAGATTATTAGCAGGGGTTGCACTGCTGTTTAATTCAGTGACTTTATCTTTTTAATGTTCAAAATGCATTTCTTATTGGCCTTTCACAAATGTGCTAAATGACTTATTTTTTTGGCCAAAGGCTTAGTTATAAAATATATATTTATAATTTTAAAATTATACATTCAAGGTAGTGACATGATGTAATCACACTGAATGATTTCTCTGCTGACACCCTGTATGTTTCAATAAATTGGTCTAAACCTCAACCATCTGAATTATTCCAGACAGGATACAAGCCCTGGGTTTGTACCCCAGGAGGGGTCTATTTGCCTTTTTATTCCACTGTGGGTAGGTGCTATTAGAAGACAGGTTCTCACCAGGCTAGCGTTTTCTCCCTGGTCCTGCTCAAGAGATAAGCTCACCAAACTGTTATGTGCTTGTACCCAGAGCCTAGGAAAAGGACCTCTCGGTAACTATGGGCTGCTCCATAGGCCTTCTTTTCTGCTGTCACACGCCTCCCTCTACACCCACACCCACATCCATCTCAGCTTTGGCCACAGGGTGGCGCTGAGCCGCCATAACAGCAAGTCAATATCCGTCAGCTGGCCCTGAGAGGCTACAGCTGACAGATCTCAGCCTGCCCACCTGCACTCTGAAGCAGTGGCAGTGAGGTGCTCATAAATATTTAACTACCAGTTGTCTTTAAAACCATATTTTGTCCATCACCTGATTACTGTGGAGTAAATGATCCCACAATAGCTGATTTCAAGCTACCAACTTGATGTGGAGTTAGGAAGAAAAGCGCAGGAATACACCAATTTCCATCATCCAGATGCGATAGACTGTTAACCTCAGAAACAGATAATGGCCAGATTTAGTAATTAGGAAGGGACAAGTCTGAATATTTATTACCCTTGTTTTAAAAGGATTACATATTTACATAACTTGATTTTTAATAATTGGCTCTCCAGAGCCAGTACAAGCCAGCTCCAGCACACCACTGCCCCTAAGCCTCTAGGAGGCCTTAGGATTGTACTGTCCACCGGAAGACAGCCTGACTGCATTTTCGCATGGAACATGTGGGAGGAAACAGGGAAGGAATCTTTGGGCAGAATGCCACCAAGGTTCACTTAAATTCGGTTATACCCTGGTCTCCCTTCTTCCTGATCTGCATGGAAGCTCAGATGTAGGATTTACTCAAAGGAACAGAAAGGAAAAAAAAAGAACCAGGAAAGGCTTCAATGCGAAAGGAACAGAGCCAATGCTCTGGAGGGGGACAGGTCAGGGAGGAGCCGAGGTTAAAAGCCTCTGGCCCTCAGTTCTCAAGAAAGGCAGACTTAGAGTGGGTGGGGGGAACAGATGCCTTTTATTGGTCTAACCAGCGTAACTAGTAGCTTTGGGCAGAGCTCCCCTATCTGTCCTGGCCCCTATCTTTCCTGGGTGTTCGGGACTCACCCCAGGGGAGAAGAATGTCGGGCAGGGGTGGCAGGCAGAGCCAGGATCGAAAAGGGGATCAGGGTGAAGTAGAAAACACAGGGTTACCAGATCACTCAAATACAAAGTCCGTCAGGGCAGAAGAGAGGATGTTTCCCCACATGGGCCCCTCTGCCCTTGCCAGGAGTAGAAGGGGGCAGGAAGCTTTCACTAGAGGTTTCCTACTGTGCCCTTCGTGCCATCAGCATCTCCCGGATGTTGTCCTCAGCTTCCTTCACACTCCGCTCCAGGTAGGATTTTTTCTGCTGCAGTATGACAAAGAAACCAGGGTTAGGGGGTATGGGCCAGGCTGGCAGATGCAGCTTTTCTGCCCAATGGTAATGGCTGCTCCTCTAGCTCCAATAGCTTCTTCCACTAGCATGTTGTCTCCTGGGGGCCTGGTACAAACACACCTGCCCAGAGTGCTCCCCTCATTCCGCCCACAGACATGAGGGAGGCAGGGGCAAGTTATTTGGTGCAGGAAGCAGAAATGCTCAGTGGAAGGCAGCTGCACTCTTCCCCCAGAAGGAAGTGAACTCAAAACAGGCGTCTCAGTACATGAAGTTATACCAGACAGACAAAGGCCAGGAAATTCCAGGACAAAGCTCCGGCCGCATAACAGACTGTCTCTCAAGGTTTTCCACAGCCCAGGCCAGGCGCCTGTAGCTGCCACTGCTGCAGAATGGACTGGGCACCCTCCGTTCTGTCCAGTCAGAGGGCAGGCTGCACGAGTGCTAAGAAGTTGTATCACACGTCTCATCGAGGCAGATGAGTCAGGATGAAATCTGCTTTTCTAATGAAACCGCTGCCTGCCAGGAATCCAGGACAGTGACACACTGAGTAAAACAGACCTTTTGGACATTCACCTCCCTACCCCATCTGGGTCCTAAATTAAAAATCTCAACTTAGACAAAGAACTTAAACTACTTTCAGGAGCCACATCTGGGCCAGGATTACAAAAGATTAGTCAAAGGAAATGATGTCTGTACATTATTTGCCCTGTGGTCACCCCAAAAATATGGTGGCTTCACCACTGGTCCCTCCCCTGGGGACATACTTGTGGTTGCATTCTCACTTGACATGAAATGAGGCTCCCTTTTTCAGAAATACTCAAAATAATCCCCTAAGGGTGCATGTGACTAAGCCACACTGGAGTCAGTAATGCAAAGCCCTGACCCAGACAGCTTAGATGCATCCAGTGCCCTTCTCTCATTCACCCCTTTACCCTAGCAGCTGTGGATTCACTTTGACCGTTCAAGTGCCCATATGACCTGGGAAAGACTGAGCCAGAGAACAAGTGAGCAGCCTGGCCTGACAGGCCTTCTTTGGGAACTGATGCCCAACCAAACCACCGAGGCAAGAAAATCAAAATGAAGGCCTCTGGGGCTTGAGGCCTTCACCATTAAAATCTCTGATGCCCCTCTACATATCCTTCTGTCTAACTTCTCCCACTCTCTGTTCAGATATTTATTAAATGCAACAGGGGACTTTTTCCTATAGGTTCCAATGCTGTGGCATCTTTATCAGTTCTTATCTGAGCCTCTAATTCCCGTCTGGCTTCTCCTAACTTGAAATCTCCTGAAGGCTAGAAAGAGCCATATCTCTCTACTCCTCTCTCATTTGTCCAACTTGCACACCATTCATTCCTCACCAAACAACAGGAGCTCCATAAAACTCACAGTGGCCACAGATGTATGCTGGTGCTAAGGAATTTATTATCAGTGTGATATCAGAATGGGAACTCAAAGTTCCTTTGATAAACAATCGCTAGACTTTACATGTGGTGACTTAAAGAGGGAAATACTAATAACTCCTGACACACCACTGAAGAATGTACATGTACTGGGTGTTGCACAGAAGCGGAGCAGGAGCTAAATAGTGAGGGCCATGTACCATCTGGGCACCTTCCCAGCCCTGTGGAAATCTAAGGAAAAGGCCAGTGGGGCAAGCGGGGTTGTGCTCCCACAGCATCAGCTGATGCCCAGGGACCCATCAGGTCTGCTGCATTCTATCTCCGTCAACTCGCTGCCCAGCTGGCAAAACTAAACTTGGAACATCAGCCAGAACTTTTCTACCTACTGTACAGGCCTCTGGACAAATTCAGGTTAAAATTCTTATCTTTAAAATTCATCATTCTATGTCTCTTCCTTCTATCTTCCACTTACAGTTCTATGATTTTTTTTTTCAGGATTTTTACCACTTTATAACCTAAAGTCTTCAAGTTTCAAAAAAATAACGCAAAATAAACTTGTCTATGTTGAAATCTTTAATTACGTAAATAAACTTTTGGCACATTAAATTTTTTATTTCGGGGGCACCTGGGTGGCTCTGTATGTTAAGTGTGTGACTTTTGGTTTCGGCTCAGGTCACGATCTCATGGCTCGTAGGATCAAGGCCCATGAGGATCCTACGGGATCCTGATCCTAGGATCAGGATCGGGTTGTGCACTGACAGCAGGAGCCTGCTAGGGACTCACTCTCTCTCTCTCTCTCTCTCTGCCCCTCCCCTGCTCATGCTCATGCTCACTGGCTTGCTTGCTCTCTCAAAATAAAACTTATTTTAAGAATTTAAAAAATAAATACAATTTTTATTTCATCCTACCAGATGGGTCATCCCTAACATAGAGGGAACTGTTTTCTAACTTTTTCAGTAGTTTCTGTCTCATCCTTAAAGATACCTAAGCCCAGAAGACCTTCACAATCAAACCTGAATCAGAGTATGTGATGTGTGTTGAATTCTGTCTCACAAAAAGATACATTAAAGCCCTAACCCCCAGGACCCATGGATGTGGCCTTATTTGGAAATAGGGTCTTTGCAGGGGTAACCACATTAAAATGAGGTCATACTGAATTAGGGTGGGCCCTAAATCCAATAATTAGTGTCCTTATAAGGCCACATGAAGACAAAAGGGACACAGACTGAATGCCATTCCTTGATGGAGGCAGAAAGGGAAGGATGTATCTATAACCCAAGGAAGGCCAAGAAGGGTCGGCAACAGAAGCTATGAAGAGGAAGGAAGGATTCTTCTCCAGAGGCTTCAGAAGGAGGGTGACCCCACACCACCTTGATTTTGGACTTCTAGCTCCCAGAACTTGTGAGAGAATAATTTTCTATTGTTTTAAACCACCCAGTTTATGGGGCGCCTGGGTGGCTCAGTCAGTTAAGCCTGTGACTCTTAGTTTAGGCTCAGATCATGATCTCACGGTTTGTGGGTTCAGGCCCTGCACTGGGCTCTGTCCTGACAGTGCAGAGCCTGCTTTGAATTTGCTATCTGTTCCTCCCCACTCATGTGCACACTCACTCTCTAAATAAATAAAATTTAAAAAATAAACCACCCAGTTTGTAGTAATTTGTGAAGAAGCCCCAGGAAACCATGAAATGAGGGATGCCCCAGAGAACAAGTCTACCCAAAGTTCTTATGTACTCACACCTTCTGACCACAATGAATCATAGAGGCCTGGGTAAGAATTTCTAAAAGTATGTCGGGACCTGTACTTCTCCCAAAAAAATTGTGGTAGAAATGATCCAAATAAAAATGAGACAGAAAGGACCCAAAACCTTAAGGAAACTGATTAAGTCAAAAATTTTTCTTTCTTAAATTTCTACACCTTCTTCCTAAAACTCACCAAACCAGAAATTCTGTGGACCCCAGTCTCCCCCACTTCTATAGATGACAACTCCATTCTTGCAAATGCTCAAAACGTTTGGTGTCACCTTTGAATCTTCCTTCTTTCACATCTGACATCAACCAACAAATCCTATGAGCACTATCTCAAAATGTGTCCATAATCTGACCTTAATAAATAACCTCCTAAGTGGTCTCCCAAGTTGATTTTGAGAGAGAGAGAGTGTGCACGGCCATACACGCGTGAGCAGGGAAGGGACGGGGGTGGGGGGGTGGGGGGTGCGGATCTTAAGCAGACTCCACGCTCAGCTCGGAGCCCAGTGTGGGGTCCGATCTCATAAACCACAAGATCGTGACCTAAACCTAAATCAAGAGTTAACTATGCCCCCCTTCTGCCTTCTGATCCTCTTCAGTTTCTTCACACAGTGCTGAGTCCTCTTTTAATGCTCCAATGGCTTCCTATTTCAAAGTAGAAGGCAAAGCCCTTTTGAAAAGCCATGTTTAAACTTGTTCTCAGCAGACTCTGACCTCAACTCCCTCTCACCCACTCAGCTCCAGCAACACTGGCCTCCACCTCCGACTATGCACTGCACCTCCAACCCACCACCATGCTCCTGCTTGGCTTTTGCCCTTTGGCTCCGTTAGGAACACTCTTCCCCAAATATCCACAGCACTTGCTCACTTACTTCCTTCAGCCCTTTCTCGAATGCTTCTTGCTGTGATTACACAGCAGCTCCACGCTCCCTATTCTCACCCTGATTTGCATGCATAGCCTGTTACCACTGGAAGAAGCAGTATTTGTGGGTCTTCCCTTACAAGAAAGGAATGTCCATGATCATGGGCAAGACTCTGTTCTGTTCACTGCTATAATCCCAGTGTCTAGAAAAATGGCTGCTACAAGACAGGAACTCAATACTTGTTGAAAAAAGTACATTTATTCTCGGAAATGAGTACTTACTGATTTACTTATATACACACTGCTGCTTTGTAGTTCTCCCTCACAACTTGGAATGAGGATCACCAACAGAGCAAGCAAAGGTAAAAACTGACCATCTCCTTCAAGATGGTTTTCAGTTTGGGGCACTGCCTTCTAACCTCTGCCCCTGGGTATACATAGGTCTAAAACTCAACCCTCCCTGATGTCCATGGGAAAATCAAAGGCTTGGCTTCCATAAACAGAACAGGTCCTAAGGTTCAGGCCCCTTGATCAAACCAACCTGTGAAACTGTGAAACAAGCTATCCCAATTTCCCATGTCCTGGAGTTGGAAATCCTTGAGAAAATGCTCTGAGACTGGCCTGGGCTGCCAGGAGCTCCAGGGGAATTATGACTGCTGTGTAAACTTCCGGAGGCCTTTTAAACCCACACCTTCCAGCAGGAGTCCCAGGAACGCATCTGCTGCAGCATTTTTGTGTGTTGCTGAGCAATCTCCCTCAGAACCTTTACCCTAGGAAACTCTCTAGTGGAATCAAACCACAGAGCCCTGGACGCAGCGACATTCTTGTGGGCCTTGTTCTGGAGTGAAATTCTGAGATTTCCTGTGGGGCTCAGCATGGCCAGGGAAATGACACTGCTTGAGGTACTACTCATCAGCCTGAGGCTCTCCTTTCTGGGAGTCAGGCTGAGGGGCTAGTGTTCTAGT